GGAGGGAGGGAGGGAAGAAGGGTGTTTTGTACTGAAAATCTAAACTTCAAAACGAAAAACAAATAAGAAAAGAAAGAGAATCTTAGACAAAACCTCAGGGGCAGGTGGAGATTTTGCACTGTGACAGATCTTTCACATTAATTTTGCATTTATAAACTGTTTGTTCTTTAACACAGTGGCCCATCATGAATATTCATTGAATGGATCCAAGTCTATTTTCAGCTCCTACAGCTGTGCTCAGTTTGAAGCCTTGCACCTCGGAGGTGGAAGAGATCAAGCTGGTCGTCCCTCTGTCTCCCTCGCCTTCCCAACAGGCTACACAGGCCTTTGCTGTAGTCGGGGACCCTGCCTACTGAAAAGGACACCCCAGAGCTAAGGAGAGCAGCGCTTCCACTGAACATCCGGGGTCTCTTCCACTGCAGAAACCTGGCATCGGGGTACCCATTTCTTGGCATGGCTCTTTGGAAACCCAAGCTGTTGGTTGTAGCCCTTTCCTGTTTTCACCGTTTCATTGTTGGCATCGGTTATCTGTTGAGTCGTGTGTCCATCCCATGCACCCTTAGGAGGAAGTAGTCGAGGAGGAGGGAGCCCAATACCCGTGCGGCAGCCTGACCTTGTGGTAGCCTTAGGAAGGTCGTCCTGGCCTGTGGCACCAAGCAAGACGAAGTAGGGGCTGCAAAACATCTGCTCCGTCCACTCATGAAAACCCACTGGGCCTTTTTCAACCCATGGCTAAGGCTTGAAGGACAAACGCTTCCCATGGTTGTGTTGCCATTGCAGTCCGGGGCCTGATGGCCTCTTGCTGTCCTTTAGCAAAGAGAACCGAGACCTTGTCAAGACTTGCACCATGGCAGTTCTGCCTCTGCGACAGGGTGCCCACTGTCTCGCTGTCACTGTAGTTGGAGACAGACTGGAACCAAATCTCGTTTTTTGTAATGTGAGCTCTCTGAATCTGTAAAGGAGGATGCTCCTGAAGGACCTTTTATTAGGATGTCCCTCTCAAACATGTCTATTTTTCTACAGTTACTGAGAACACAGTTTAACGGTGTATTTTGTGTCAACTGTTAAAATTTGGAACTGAAAGAAGTTCGTTAAGACAATTTTCTAAGCAGCAAGTAGGGAATGGGGTTTTTTGCATTAAGACAGTTCAACAAAATTGACCCCACAATTTCTGCCCTTTCTATTTCTGAGACCCGGTCCTGCACTCCCCCTGTTAGCAAGACAAGTGCTATGAAAATCAATAAGCTGATGGGAATGGGACCCTAACCAATGAGGTCACTGTCAAGGAGATATTTGGGGCGTTCAGTTGGTGTCGTTGAGTCAATTTTCCCTAAAGCCTGGTGGGATCCACGAGTTTGATAAGAACCTTGGACTGTAGGTGTCATTTGTCCCAGGTGACCCCAGTGTGACAGACCAAGGTACTCCTGGAGCAGAGGGCATGTGGAGCTGGAGGGGTGACTTCCTGGGGGCTGGGGACTCCTTGGGGCTGTCTGTTTCACTTCCACCCACCCAACTTCCACCCAGCGGGAAACCAACTTCAGTGATTAAGAAAGTCTCTTGTTTCTTGGCTGTCCCAAGAACTGTCGGGCAAACGTGGTGTTCCCCACACGCAGCCACGCCGTGTCCGTGAAATGAAACGCTCTCTTACCCCACTCCCTCCTTCCCCCTGTCCCTCCCTTCTCTTTCCCTAGTCGTCTGGTTCCAAATCTATTGATCCAATTTAGTATCCTAGTTTCCCTAACAGAAATCCAGCTCTTCTCTCTAAAACTGTCAACCTATTTCTTAAAGCACAATTTTCTCTTCACAGGTCTAACCCAACTAGACCTCTGACATGTTCATTTTTCAGTACCCTAATGTAAAAATTATCGCTGACTTCGTTTAAAAGTCTACATTCAAGTCTCCAGAGCAATGTTCTTATGCTTTCCTTCCCTGCATCTTCTAATATTTCTAGTTTCTTGCTTTCTCCTCACCCCTGCGTTCTTTAAATTTAGATTTAAACCAGTATCTTTGGGATATTCAGAAACCAGCGGTAGAGGTGGGAATAGGTAGACAGAGAAAGAAAGCACAAGAATGCTGTGGGAAATTCCATGACCACACTGGGAGGACAGGAGGTCTTAGCTGAGAAGACACAATAGTAAGTCCCTTCTAACACAGTATGGCACCTTCTCAGTCTTCCATCCTTGAACTGGGTGATTCTCTGTGTGATTTAGAAGAGTCGGGAGGGTGGCTGCCCATTAAACACCCCACACGTGGCAAACGTTATCTTCCAGGTTGCCTTCCTCTCAATGGCTGGCTATAAAGTTGAAAAACAAAGGTAACAAAAACATAATATACAGTTCGTTGATATTACATTACAATACAGCCAAGTCATATTATCTTCTTTCTAGACTTTATGGCCAACATATATTTATGAAAATGTTGTTCTTTGATTTAAAATTGAATAAAACAAATTTCTTTCCAATAGTTCTGCCCTTGATGTCTTGGAGGGCTTTTGGATGCAGAGAGTCACCTAGAAGCCAAAATCCTATCAGGGGGTTGCACAGTAATAACAAAACAATTTTGCAACCCATGTGGTGTGGTAAATTTTGAGCACCCGTACAAATCATCTCATTTAATTCTAACCCACACGGGAGGCTGAATATTATAATTTACATTGTTCTAGGTGGAAAACTAGAGTTTTGGCAAAGTAATTTCCCCAAGGTTACAAGACCAGAAAGTCACTGATCGTGGTCTTAAATCCATGTCGCAAAGCTCTAAGCCAGGAGCTCTTTTTACTACAAAAAAAAAAAAAAAAACAGTTGGGCAGACCAAGTCTGTGAACAGAAACTGGCCTGCTGCCTGTCCTTACACCACCTGTGAGCTAAGACTGCTGTTCACATTTACAAATGGTCGGAAGGAAACCAAGGCTGTTGTGTGACATGTGAAAATCATATGAAATTTAAATTCCAGTATCCACAGATGAAGTCTTATTGGAGCACAGCTAGGCCCACTTATTTATGTTTTGCCCACCCGTGGCTGATTTCAACAACCTCCACTAGCAGAGCTGAGTAATTGCAGCAGGGACCATACGGCCGGCAAAGACTGAAATGTTTACTAGCTGGCTCCTTACAGGCAAAGCTCATCCCCGACCCCCTGCACTGTAGTGTGAAGGGGTATTAACACTGAGGAAGTAATGGTACTAATAGTACTACTGGGAATGGTACTGCACTCTTAAGAGGCGCCTAGGAAGCACGGAAGCATTTATACCTTTTCTGGTATAAATCTATCGGAGCCACTCATAAATCTGTTTCAAGAAAACAGAACAAATTTTCTGATAAAAAGGCACCTGCTTCACAAGCCTAGGGTGGGGCTCAGAGAAAGAAGGCTTCCTTTTCCCTGCCCGCCTGCTCAATGGGCCCCCTGGTTCTGTCTCGAACCCACCCACCCTCCTCCTCCTCCACTCCCCGCTGAGGCCTCTGTCTTCCGCTCTCTTGGAGGAGAACTAGCAAGGCCACTGAGCTATCTCTGCTTCTTTGCCAGTTTCCTCTGGGCTACAGGTGATGCATGTGGCAAAGATGGCCCTAGGATGACGGCTCGTGTGTGATTACGCTATCCAGCCTTTCTCTAGCCCCTCAGCTAGAGGTCTAATGTGTGAATAAGGAACTGAACGCTTCTCTTGGAAACCCCAGAGGTTCTCTGCCAAGAGCTCTGCACGATTGTGTGGCCTCCTGTGAAGCACCAGGTGACGATTGGTAACTGCGGAAACGCTGGATGGATGGGATCCAGACAATGGGGTTTGTGGATACATCGATACTAAATGACATGCGTGAGTGTCACTAACTTGAAGTCACTTGTGTTCTAAGAAAGCGTTTCTAATGCCAGACACAGTCGGCCAAGTTCAGTTCTTTATCTTATTGGTTCTGTGGGAAAACATATCAGGTTCTCTGATGGGCACTTTCCTGAAAATTAGGCAGGAAAGAACATATTTTGCAATGAATCCTTGCGTGTTGTTGCAGATAAATGGTGGATGTGGCCTCATGTCTAAAACTAAGTAGACAATGGTGTCTTTCAAGAAGACCGTGCAAAAGCTTGGGACCCTTCACCCTCATGGAAGAGCAATACAACAAAGTGGAAGGAAACAAATCTCAAAGTTCAACACCATAAAACTTAAATAAATGTAAAAGGAGCCAAACTTTTACTTGACCTCAATGCCTTGGCAAATAAAGCTTCCTGCATCCACCTAATTCCAATAGAATTACTAAGGGAAGGAAAGCAAAATACTTTCAAAATACACAAGAATAGTTCTCACTAGGGTGATTGCGTGATTAAGTGGTGGAACTGTATCACTGATGAAAATGTATCTGTAAAGTCATTTTTAGACTCTAGACGTGAATCCTAATGTGTACTGTGGTTGGCCAGAGAATCAAGACCACATAGATCTCACTTCCAGAGGATGAAACGTTCTCACTGTCGAAGCATAATTGACCATTTCAAGATTAAGGCTCAGTACCCATTATATTCACACTGATCATACATGCTGTGATATCACCTTAGCCAATCGTTCTAAGAATAAGAAGGGCTGTTTTTCTCAGGCAATGTAAATACCCACTACCAACCAACACTAGTGAAATAAACGTGATTCATCATCATTTCTAAAATGTTAACAGAAACCATATAATGCTCATCCAAAAAGCAAGGTATCCCAAGAGCATAAGATCAGACTTTTGGTGACTCAGACCTTGGTCCAGGCTCAGCGTCTTACAGAGAGTATCAGTGCTGGGTCTGTCACCACGAAACACAACTCAGAAATGACCCGTGGGAGTCACAGAGCTGGAGTCCAGCCAGCCGTGCATGAGCTGAGCCTCTGAGTCTTCAGACTGTTCTCAGAGGATGGGAAGGACCACTGTCCTGAGATCTGGCCATACCAGGCTCCATCCTGGCATCATCTCTCAGCAGTACTGCTTCCGGGAGCGGTGTGAGTGATGCCCTCCCTCAGCCCCAGGCAGGCCCAGAGCGTTAACCATGCTCACCTGCTGAGGCCGCTAGGCTGAGCAGGCTCTGGTTCCCACCCATGGGACAATGAACCCATAACCACAGAGGACCCTGTGTCTAAGCTTAGCATGCACCCGATGGGGTCTGCAGTGATGGCTCACCCAAGCCTGTAGTCTCCATTAACACCAGGGGGACCCACCTATGTGTAAATCCAAGAAAGGTAATGCTAAAGCAAAAATGGAGTCAAGGAAATCCCCAAAACAACTGATTTTCCAAATGCAATTGAAAGTATTTTGGGGGGGTGGGGGGGTTCTTCAGATACCTGCTTCTTCACCCTGTAGAAATTCTCACCTTAGGGAATCATGACAGACTCAGTCAGTCCCCAGACCACTGTTCTGCATAATCTGACCTGTCCTCACTTTTTAAGAAAGTCTGATGATTTGGTCTGTTTGAACCCACCCCACAATCAATAAAAATCTTGTCCTCGTTTTCCCAAGGTCACCAGACTCGAACAGCAAACCAAGCGTCCCGCCTGAACTCAAGGCTCTCACCTGGATGGAGACACACAGGGACACGACTTGGGCTGCCCCAGGGGCCCACGCGGCTTTTCTCAGGACAGCAAATGCTCATGCAAGCATTTTCCCCCTCTGCTCTATCTTAACCTCCCTCCTCAACTCACCACCACCATTTGATCTTTCCTGGCCCCTCCCCTTTGAGGTTAATTTCATTCTGGAGCAGTGGCCACCCAGTGACACGCGCACAGGGTTCTGCAGTGACTCAGGCACCTGCCTGTGTCAGCACAGTGACCTACCCCCCTCCCCCGCCATCTGCACAGGCTGCGTTCTGGGGGAAAGCCTGGCACTCCTCGGTAACCCAGGAGGTGCGGTGGCTGCTGCCATGGCAACCTCCAGCCTATCTGCAAGGACCACTCTTGTGCAGGCTGCAGGCTGGAGGGGGCTGAGGCTCCAGGGATGATCCACCTACAGACAGCCTTGGGGGAAACCACGGAGACCAGGGCAGTCCCCCCACAAACGTTCCTGTGCCTGCTTAGGATGGCTCAAATTTAATAATGGCCGTGTTGCTTCTGAAAAGCTTTTCTCTAAACAACCCTTCCCACACACACCCCAGCATTTGCCTTACAAAAACCTCCAAAAACACATTCACATTCTCTAACGTAACAAATGTCCACAGAACTGCCATCTTCCTAATCAGTAAGTAAACTCTGCCCACAAGATTGAAAATGGCCCAAAACAGAGTTTCAATAATAAGCCCAAGGATTAATAAAAGCACTTAAAATTTGTAAGTGTAGATTCTTTTAGGAAACCTAATTTCAAGGCAAAGATAACTCATTTTTGCTCCAGGGTGCAATATTCCCAGATGGCTGTGCCATTTCCCATCTGGCTTTGATCCTGAGGAAAGATCCGTTTATACCAGCCTGGAAGGGTAGAACTGAGCACTGATGCCTGCAAAGCTGGATTCAGTCCGGCCCCTGGACCCGGCAGAAGTAAACTCTGCTGACCAGGAAGAGCTCTGAGTAGACCAACCGTACCTGAACACAGACTTCGGGAGATTCTGGGGACAGTGGCTCTTTAGCTGACGTGAAGGGAGAAACTGACAGATCTGATTCCAGCACACCAGAGGGCGTCTCAGCAGATCCCAAAGTTGCTCCTGGCCTGGTGGGCTTGTCGGGTCTCCACAGGCTCAGAGGACAGATGAAAACTTTCCACCACCTAGACAGCCACAGTGGGAACTTTCCTCCCAGTCATTTTCCAGTCCGTTACAGCAAGCCTGTGATTGCGAGATTCCTCCCTGCTGGCGTCTCCAGATCTGTCCCCATGAAACAGCAAGGTGATAGCATTCTCAGACCTCTTTAACCAACACATTAACTCACAAAAATACAACTGCCTTCCCATGCACACATACATATGCACACACATAAACACACATGTACACACACACTCTCATATATACACACTTCTTTCCAGTCAGGTATGAGCTGGTTCTCATAAGTACATTCTAGGAAACATAAGCCTTAAGAGTGAAGATCACATTTCCCCTGCCATCATGGTGGTATTCTTTCTTAACCATACCGGACACTTTGCTCAACCCACAGGCCGTGGGCCATAGAACCACCTTTCTCTCTAAGCTCTGGGGAAACCCTGGACTCAGGTTTAGGGGACCAGGATTCTGGTCCTGCCCCCAGGTTAGCTGTGGGGTCCTGGATAATTCACTGGACTGCTTTGAAACACCTTTCTCCTCTTCTTTTTCTTTTCATTGATAAATGTTACTTTTTAGAGAAACTTTGGGTTCATTGAAAAATTAAGCAGAAAGTACGGAGTCCCTATGTGCCCCATTATTGACCTGTCACGCCACAGGGGTGTGTCCATTACAGCTGATGACCTCACTCACTCCTGGGGTAGTACATTCTGCGTGATTGGGCAAATGCCCAATGACATAGGTCTGCCGTTACAGTTTCATAGAGAGTGGTTCTGTGGCCCTAATGCGCTTCGTGCTCTGTCTGTTCATCCCTCCCTGGCCCCGGTGGTAGCAGCTACTGATCCTTCCACAGTCTCCAGTTTTGCCTTTTCCAGAATATCAGATAGTTGGAATCACACAGTGTACAGCCTTCTCAAGTCAGATTCTTTCACTTCTCCATGTCTTTTCATGGCTTGGTAGCTCTTCTATTTTTTAGCACTGAACAATATTTCATTTTCTGGATGTATCACAGTTTATCTGTTCACTAAAGGTATTTGGGTTCCTTCCAAGTTTTGGCAATTATAAATAAAGCTCCTCTTAACATCTCTGTAGGTTTTTGTAGGGACAGTTTTTCAGTTCATTTAGGCAAAACCAAGAAATACGATTGTGCTAGTGTATGATATGACTACACTTACTTTTGTAAGAAACTACCAAACTGCCTCTCAAAGGGGTCTGCCATTTTGGACTCTACCAGCCATGAATGAGAGTCGCTGTTTCCCATATCCTCATCCACATTCAGTGTTGTCCAAGTTTTGGATTTTGGCCATTCTAATAAGTGCGCAGTCATATTTTATTGTGGTCTTAATTTGCTACTGGTATATAATGTTAAACATCTTTTCCTATGCTTACTTTCCATTTCTATAGCCTTTCTGGCAAAGGTGTTTGCCCTGGTCTTGCATCCATGTTATAATTAGGTTGTTTGTTGTCTTGTTGTTGAATTTTAAAAGCTCTTTGTATATTTTGGATAATAGTTCTTATCAGATGTATCTTTCACAAATATTTTCTCCCAGTCTTGTGGTTTGTCTTGTCATTCTCTGACATTTTTTGTAGGACGGAAGTTTATCGATTTAATTAAATCCAGCTTACCAGCCATCATGAATCGTGCCTTTGATGTTGTATCTAAAAGGTCACTGCCATACTCAAGATTCTCTAAGTTTTCTCTTACATTATCTTCTAGAGGTTTTTGGGGTTTGAGGGTTTTTTTGGTACCGGGGGTCGAACTCGGGTCCTGTGCTTTCGAGGCAGGCAGCAGAACCACTGAGCTAAATCCCCAGCCCCTTCTAGAGGTTTTTTAATTTTGCATATTAGATCTGTAGTCAATTTTTGAGAAGAGTGTAAAGTCGATGTTTAGATTTCTTTTTTCATTAGATTCCTAGTGCAGATGTCCAATTGTTCCAATACCGTTTGCTGAAAAGACTGTCTTTTCTTCTTTGTCAAAGATCAGTCATCTGTATTTATGTGAATCTATTCATAGGCTCTCAATGCTCTTCTTTTGGTTAGTTCCTCTTTCTTTTTCCAATACTATATTGTCTTAATTACTGTGAATTTATACTAAGGCTTGGGGTCTCACGCTGTCAGTCGTCTGATCTTGTGCAGTTCCTTAATAGGGAGTTGTCTATCCTGAATCTTGTTTCTTCTTGTAAACTTTAGAATGAGTTTGTATTATAAAGTAACCTGCAGGGTCTTTGGTGATGTAATGGCTCTGTAGATCAAGTTGGAAGCGCAAACCACTAGTCAAAACTGAGACTTCTTTTCCATGTGCATGGAATATATCTCCACTTTTTTAGTTCTTCCTAATACCTTTCATCAGAGTTTTGTAATTTTCCTCATATAGATCTTGTACCTGTTTTGTTAGATTTATACCTAAGCATTTCACTCTTTGAGTTGCTAATTTATATGGTACTGTGCTTTTAATTTTGAATTCCACTGTTCGTAGATGGTATGTAGGAAAGCAATTGTCTTTTGCACATTAAGTTTGTACCTTATAACCTTGCTATAATGGATTATTTTTAAAATAGGAGAGTTTCATCAGTTCTTTCAGATTTTCTACATAGAGAATCACATCATCAGCAAACAAGGTTTTGTTTCTTCTTTCCCAATCAGTACACCTTTTATTTCCTTTTTATGTCTTATTTCATGAGCCAGTGTTTCCCATATCATGTTGAAAAGCAGTGCTGAGCCAGGCGCAGTGGCACACGCCTGTAAGTCCAGCTACACAGGAGGCTGAGTTGCGAGGATTCCAAGTTCAAGGTCAGCCTGGGAAAGGTGGTGAGAACCTGTCTAAAAAAAAGAAAGAAAGAAAGAGAAAAAGAGAAAAGAAAAGCAATGATGAGAAGAGATCTCTGCTTTGTTCCTGATCTTATTTTAGTGAGAAAGTTTTGAGTTTCTCACTTTTGAGTATGATAATAGCTAAAAAGTGTTTTGAATATAACTTGCGAAGTAGTGGAATTTCTCCATTATTCCCAGTTTATTGAGGATTTTTACCATGAATCATTATTGGAATTTATCAAATTATTTTTCTGCATCTATTGATGTGATCAATTTTTCTTCTTTAGCCTGTTAATATGGGTTGCAATAATTGGTTTTTGAATGTTAAACCAGCCTTTGTTTACCTGGAATAAGTTCCACTTAACTGTGCTGAATAATTTTTTTACTACTTTGTTGGACTCAATTTGTAAACATTTTATTGAGGATTTCTGCATCTACATTCATTAGAGATATTGATCTGAAGGTTTTTTTCTTGCAATATCTTTGTCTGGTTTTGGTATTAGGGCAATACTGAACTCCTAGAATGAGTTTAAAAGTATTCCCTCTATTTCTGTCCTCTGAAAGAGACTGTAAAGAAATGTTTGGTAGAATTCACGAGTGAACCTATCTGGGCCTAGTGCTTTTTGTGTGGGAAAGTTATTAATCATTTACTCCAATTTTTAATAAATATAGGCCTATTCAATAGATTAATCATTTCTTCTGGTATTAGTTTTGACAGATGATATCTTTCAAGGACTTCATCCATTTCACCTAGGTTATCAAATTGAGAGACAAAGGGCTGTTCAAAACTTTCCTTCATTATCCTACCAATATGTATGAGATCTGTAGCAATGTCTCCTCTTTTCTTTCTGATAGTAGTAATTTGCAATCTCTCTCTCTCTCTTTTTCAGTACTAGGAATCGAACTCAGGACCTTGCGCTTGCCAGGCAGTGGCGGCACCACTGAGCTTAATTCCCAGCCCTTCTCCGTGATCTTTTGAAAGAATAGCTTTGGTTCCACTGATGTTTTAATGAAATTCCTATCTTTAACTTCAATGATCACAGCTCTAATTTCTATTTCTTTCCATCTGCTCAGTTTGAACTTAATTTGCTCTTCTTTTCCTAAGATCCAAGCCCAGATGATTGATTTCTGATGACCTTTTCTAATACGTTCATTCAATACTACAAATTCCCCTCTAAGGACAGCCTTCACTGTGTAAGTTGTACTTATGTCTTCATTTACTTCAAAATATTCTTTAATTTCTCTTGAGATTTCTTCATTGTATTTAAAAGTGTGCCATGTAATCTCAAAGAATGAAGATTTTTCAGCCATCTTTCTGTTATTGATTTCTAGCTGAATTCCTTTGTGATCTAGGGGCAGACCCTGTAGGATTTCTGTACTGTAAATGTGTTAAAGTGTGTTTTATGGCCCAGAATGCAGTGTTCCTTGATGAATGTTCCCTGGGCTTGAGAAGAACATGTAAACTGCTGTTACTTTTCTTGCCTTCCTCGGCAGGCATCTGAACCCCCCAGGCTCTGTTTCTGTGACTCTTATAAGTTCCAATCCACACTATCGCCAGTTCAGGTCTACACTACTCTTACACTATGCGGCCCCAGGTGAGTTTTGAGTCTTTTCCTTTTTATTATTTCCCTGATCCCTTGGCTGATAGCAGTGAAATTCAACTACCAACCATACACTTGTTTCCAGCAGCCCCTTGCCAATCACATCCTTCTCCTTTCTCTTCCACCACCACCAAACCTGGCAGCAGATAGACGCTGTGTGAGGAAGACGCCTCCTGGATAAATAAGGCATTACCAGGCAAGCACTGCAGGCTCCTCTGTGTAGAAAACGCCCAGTGAGGGTTAGCATCACTGATAGAAAATAACTGCACAACTACCCCTTGAGGCTTATCCACGAAGCTCCCACAGGTGATCGCAAGTCAGGTGTTTCGTCTTGTTCTGTTCTGTTCTGCTCTGTTGCTGAGTTTGTTTCTTGAGACAGAGTCTTGTTATACAATCCAGGTAGCCTTGAACTTGCTATGTAGCCCAGGCTGGCCTCACATTGACAATCCTCCTGCCTCAGCCTCCTAAGTGCTGGGATTACAGGCGTGCACCACCACATCTAGCCTGGCATTTCCTGGCCTTGTTTTTAACCTAAACCTAATGCTCTTTTCCCTGAAGCATGCATCTAGGACCCCAGGGAAAAACACAAATGCTAAAGCCAATAGAACATCATTAAGGAAGCAAAAAGCTTAAACCACAATGACATTTTAATTTAACTACTTTATTTTAGCCATAGCCCTCTTTTTTACAGATACCACTTTTTTCTGCTTTATTTTAGTCATATACCAATAGTGGAATTTAGTAGCTATTTTCCTTCTATTAATTGAAAAATAATTAATTGAAAGATAATTAATTTTGTCTTTCCTAATAAAATAGCATCATACAGTACTAAGGCCCAAAATATGTCCTAGGGCCTAGTAAAATATACAAGCCACCTGCTAAACTAGAAAGAAAATTCTTCTCGGAAGTTCACTGGTACAAAAGTCCACGGCAGGGCCAAAGTTTCAATTGCCTCTTTCATTGTAAATCTGTGCAGCTGAGACTGAGACGAAATCTCGTTTGGAGGTTGCACGGCTGGAAATGTGCTTCTTCTGACCAGGATTTCTCACTCTGACCATGACCCAGAACGCTCAGCTGAGTCCAGCAGCCACAGTCTAGGGGTGTCATCGAGGGGCCCACCGAGGTGCTAAATCCAGTATCCACTCCCAGAGAACACAAACATGCTTAAGGGGGAAAAAAAACAGCTAGTACTTGAGTTTTTGATCGACTGCTTCTATCCCGCAGAGAAATAGTGTTTCGCTTCCAAGGTAATAGGAAGCTCACCAATGCAGGGAGCTGCCACACGTTGTTATTTTTGTTCTCCAGGAATCCTGGCAGCCAACTTAAACTAGACCAGGAAAAAACCCAAAGCACTCAGAAAGACATCTGATGCTCCAAACGTTAGTGTCCCAAATATGCACACACTTGACTGAGTGTTGCCCAAAACAGTTAGTGAACCCTTCAAATGCAGTTAGTGATGGCCTAGGCCAGAGGCTGTGAAGACTCTGAGAGAGAGAGAGTAACATCCTGTCCACTGTCCTCAACAAGCCCATGGCCGCCACCTCCTACCATGTGACACCACTGAGCTGGGTGCATGAAGCCACACAAAGCCTTGTGAACAAACGCTGACTCCACTTCACACTTAGAGCAACTGAAACTGAGGTCTAGGGTTAGGAACGAGAGGACCCAGTACAGAGGAGCAGCTATTACAAATGTGCTGGGATTGACAGAAAGCAAAACGGCTTCTTTGTAAGCAGTAGGAGATGGCATCATGGGGAAGGAAAGGACATCACTTCAGGCCAGGTGGGCTTTGGAAGAGAGAGACCCAGGGAGAAGGCACTTCCGGTTGAGGGCCCAGCATGGGAGGGGTCCAAAGACAGACACCCAGGGGATGGTGCCTAGGCCAGCCTACATAGGGTGGGTGGCTCATCGTAGGCTTTGATAAAGCATGCATTTGGAAAACTGGTGCTAAATTGTAGAAGACTTGGAATTCCAGGCTACCGAACATGGACTAAGGAAGAGAATCTGTGAATAAAACTACCATAGTGCTGAAAATGCTCTTAAATCTTTAAGATTTGATGAAAATAACACTTTTCATTGAATAAAAGCAAAACGTCCTTTAGCACAACTGTCAAGCATTCTGAAATGATTGAGTGAATCCTTGAAAAGCAGAAAAAAATTAGGGAAATTTCAGTAGTGTGTAGTAATACACTACATGTCCAGCAAAATCATAACCAGAGTTGTAGGAGACATGTGTGTAGATGCTAGAAAATGCAATATATAAAAAACACTTTTCTCTGAGCAAAACCAATGACCCTTTAGAGATGAATAGGAAAAAAAACAAAAAAAACCCCAGAATTTCATCTTTCAAAAAATCCAGCCAAGGCTTCTGACTTTTCTTCATGATCAAGTAACTAAGATCCGCTTCTGAGGTCAGTACTGCCGACCTGTCCACCACGCTTTTAAACAGGAGAGCCAGGTCGAGCTCCAGTACTGGTTTGGCCCCTGCCCCTCCTTCCCGTCCTTTCGTGAGTCCCTCTCCTCCACTCCAAATACGCCTGTGCACGGACAAGAGGAAAGCATGCGCCACGCGAAAGCACAAATTATGTATTGAGAAATCACTACAATGCCAAATGTTTTTAGAATAAAAAAATCAATATATATCTTTAAGAACTCGCTGTGTTAGGGAAACTGTTTACATATTGAGGTGTTCCTCTTTTTTTGACTGGAACAAATAAAAAAAACTTTGATATGGCCTTGGTTTCTTCTTCCTGTGTGTCTCTCCAAGGAGGCTGACGTTTTTGCTACAGGGGGAGCATGAGCTGTTTTCAGGGCACCACCCCCTTCCCTGCCACCACACCACCGGGCCCAAGGACAGGGTGTTCCATTTGTGTCCCGGTCATTTTCCTTGTCCCTGAGACATAATACCCGACACCTGCAACTTGCAGGAAGGTGGACTCCAGCCCACAGTGCGTGGAGGTTTCAGTCCACACTCAGCCCGCTCCCCAGAGCGGCGGGGTGGAAGCGCTGGGCGGAGGACAGCAGCTCAGGGCTTGCGGTCCAAGAAGCAGAGCAACATCAAGGGAAACACTAACTTTTTTTTTTTTGGTACCGGGGATCAAATTCAGGACCTTGCACTTGCGAGGCAGGCAGCGGAACCACTGAGCTAAATCGGAGCTGAGAGGGACAGTGACCCTTCCAGGCCACACCCCAGTGACACCCCTAAGGACTCACCCCTGGCCACAACCGAGTCTTCAAAAAAAAGAGTTTAATAACGCGCAGTAAAGCCCAGGGTTGGGCTCAGCCAGGTCAGCCAGCATTCTCGGTGAGCCGTGTTCCCCTTTGCATGGGTCGGTGTTGCAGGACCCCAGTGTCTCAGCTCTGTCCTAACCCTGGAGAAACCGCAAAGCCAAGAGCTTAGCCTGCTATTCCTCTCTAGACAGGTGTGAAGGATCCAGACTTTCAGTCACCCCATGCTGTATCATGACCAAAAGGGGCCACAGAAAAATGCACCGAGGCTAAACCTTTCCCCAGGAGCATATGGTTGCTGAGACCAACCCTAAGACACCATGGCCATCCACTGCCCTTGCCTCCTGCGAGTCCACTCAGGGTCCCCCTTCTGCCTGTCACCTGTGTCCCCTGGTGCCTGTGCATCTGTCCCAGTCAGCACTCATTAGGCTGGACAAAAACGTGTGGAGACCCACAGAAAGAAGGTCCCCAGTGCTCCCAGAGCTCCCTGTGCTGCTCCACAGGGACTGCCTGTCGAAACCCTCTGGTCAGAACTACTGCGAGCCAGGCAATCCCAGTGCTCTGGGAGGCAGAGGCATGAGGATCACAAGTTTGAACCCAGACCAGGCAACTCAGCAACTTAGTGAGACCTTGTTTTAAAATTTTTAATTTTAAAAGGGCTGAGGATATAGCTCAGTGAAAAGGCCCCAGTTCAATCCCCAGTACAGGAAAAAAAGGGGCGGGAGCCATACCCCTTCATCTATGGCAGTGATTTCCACACTAATCTGCAGAGGCTTTTCCTGGAAGCAAGGCCCAAGGAGAAGCTCCTCGAGTAAGCCAGACCATGGGCACCTCCACCCAACCTTGGAGCACAGATGAGAGTGGCTACTACACAGCACTCAGCCCAAACCCTCTGAGAACCACCAGGCTCTGGCTCTCAGCTCCTCTGCAGGCCCCTGTCCTCCTCACCAGCCCTCCTGACCCAGTGGCTCCACTTCCAGACAGGCACACACCCAGCTGACCTTGAAAATGATGCTCTTCCTTCCTGGGATGTGAATCTAGAGCCATCCAGGGAGCTCAGATACCCTTCCCTGACCTCCATACCAGTGAGCTTCCCAACCTAGGCATGCAGAGAAGTGCAAACTAACACGCTCTGTGTACCTGCTCTTGACTGCCTTCCCCATAGGCAACAAGGTTCATGACTGTCTCACTCATCTGTGTCCCTGGCATCTTTTGTAAAGCTGGGCACTTTGCTCAGTGCTTATTTGTTGGATGGGTGGGAGGGTGGGTGGGCAGGGAGATGGGCAAATGAGTAAGCAGGTGGGTGGATAGATGGATAAATGAGTGGCCAAGTGGAGAGTGGATGGGTGAGTGGATAGTTGGATGAGTGGGTGGTATGTGGATGGGTGAATTGGTGAGTGGGTAGGTGGATGGGTGAATGGTTGGGTGGGTAGGTAGATGAATGAGTGAATGAATGGATGGATGGGTAGATGGACCAGTGGATAGGTGGATGAATGAGTGAATGGGTGGATAGGTGGATGGGTGGGTGGATGGGTGAATGGGTGGATGGGTGGGTGGGTGGATGAATGAGTGAATGGGTGGATGGGTGGATGGGTGGATGGGTGGGTGGATGGATGAATGAGTGAATGGGTGGATGGGTGGATGGGTGGATGG